CGCTCAAAATGGGAGAGGGAAGGCGTGCCTGTACCCTCCACTGCATTGTCAAGAAAAGTTGTCGCATTTGCAAGAAAGGCTCCAGGGAGTTGCCATTTTGAATTATGCTGGCGCCGCCTAGCGTGCGGCGTGTTTCCGCCGGTGCTGGTGTGGGTAAACGCGCCAGTCGCCCAGCAAACCCAATGCAAGCCCTCTCGGTGTTCTCAACCTTTATGTGTTTTGTGAGCTTTAGGTATTTTATTTTCGTCCCTGGCCGGTGGGTAGTGATCCCAAAATCTACTTAATCGGTGTGCATCTGGGTGCGGCCGTAAACAACCCCCTATTTTTTTTTTTGTGGAGCTCGTTTTTCACAGCGAGTCACCGCGGGCCAAGGCGCAATGGCGTCTGCTTCCACGAGCGACGCCTGGGATAGTTTGGATTTCTTGGTTCTTGACGGTAAGCGTGTGCAATCGTTCTTTACATAAATATCATAACACAGTTGACTGCTGGGTACCGTGCCTCCTGGGCTCCAGAAGGGCGCATTGCGGGATCGCAGGGGCAGCGACGCGGTTAGAAGCATTGGAAGTACATACAGTGTGTCGGTTACGCAATGCCTAACGCACGATAATACTCATTTTCAATATTAGCAATGCATATCAGGACTTTAGGATCCCAAGACCTAGCCGTTCACGCTTTTAACTGCCTCCGTGCCGCGCACTTCAGCGCCACTCCGGTATGATAATTACTTGTACACGACGGAGTGTTCGCGATGACAACCAGTTCACCCACAGATCGTTTCATCGAAAGTTCGTTACATTGACAGCTCGAATTAGCTACTTTTTCTAATGAGCCGTCTATTTGCCGCCGGTAGTCGGCATCGGGTCCCAGTGATGTACGCGCGACGAAATTTCCCTAAGCGTGCTGTCGATGAAACGAGTCTCGACGAAACGATACGGACCTGAATATTCGCGAGGGCGAAAAGTCTCGTACATGACGGAATGTTCGCTTCTGTGGATCGTCACTTTATGGATTTTATTGCAAAGCGGTTTGCGAACAATGGGTGGAACGGTGGCCGAGCCTGCTTGCGGGTCGTAGCTCGCGGAGCAAACGCTTACGCTGCAGAACCTAGGGATCCGGAGTGCGACCCCGCCCCTGCCACTTGGTGAGCATAGTACCGGCACGGGTAATCGCTACTGCCTGATGCGTCTTTGACACCTCAGGCTAGCAGCCGTACTTAATGAACCACGTCGCGATACCTCGCAGACCACCCTCAGGCTGTTAAACAACTCTCAGACGTCCAATTTTTTGTCTTTTTTGCTTCTGTGTAAATAATGCGCCATATGCAGTTTTTTTTTTTTTAATCCCCGCTGCTGAATGCCTATGTTACACAGTGACAGAAAAAAAAAGCGATAGAGCAGGTTGTTCTCGGCGAACAGAAGTATTCTTTTTGCTGTGCAACACACAAGCAGTTTCCATGAATGCCAATTGCTAGCACGAATTCTGTTCAAAGGCAGTGTTTAATGAAAACTGACCCGTATGGTCACAAATGACGTAAACACATTATTGAATAGCTCTGTGAAGAAAGGCATGAACTGTGCCAAATCAACAAGAAAAATTTATTGCAAAGTAACATATTGTTGAAGACAGTTTCTGCACTCTATCTCAGAAGTCAACGATTCATCTCGTCCTTATACAAAAGTTTCCAAGCGTTTATTCTTTTTTTTTCTTCCAGGATCTGTGCCCTACGTTCATCCAAAGGAAGTGTCAATCTGGGAAGACAATATGAAATCATGGCCACCCATAGAAAAGCCGGACGTCATCTTCTACTTGCTTCACTCCAAGGCTTGCGATCTTCAGGAGGTTAGAGCCTACAAGAGCCTTGATTCGTATAATTACCTGTCAAGTGGCCTGGTGGGAACTGTGCTTGGTCACCGAATAAGTGACCAGTTGTGCTACCTCAAGGCAGAAGGGGGCAGGTCACAATCCTTCAATGCTGCACCACACAAGGCGTGGGTATGCATGCATTCCACAGGCCGGGTGGTTACAGGAGGCTGTTCCTGCATGGCAGGACAAGCGAAGGTGTGTAGCCATGTGGGAGCCATTTTGTGGAAGTTAGAACACGCTTTTACGAACAGGATGGCCGGCACAGCTTGCACTGACGAAGCTGCTGCCTGGTACCGAGGCACAAAACGTAATGTAACTGCAGCAAGCTTAGATAACATTTCGTTTGGAGAAGAACAAAACTCAGAAATTCAGGGGGCTCTAGATGTGATTCGGTATGAGACGCATGAAGAGCACCTTCAGCACATTAAGGAGGGCCCCCTTGCTGGGCTCATAGAGATCTCGGGGACCTTGTTTCACGAGACATTGATGGCGCCTCCACGAGACCCTGCACCCCCTTTAGCGGTTCAGTGCGATACAATGCCTTCACTCGGTCACAGCAGCCATGAAGATGGAACGACCCTTCCCAACAGCTGTTCCGCCTGCTCAAAGGCATACAACGAGCTTGTAGCCATCCATGCACCTGCCATGGACCTACTCTGCAAAAGAACGGCAGAGCAAGGCAACTGCACACTCTGGCACAAGAGCCGCCGCATGCGGTTAACATCGTCCATGATAAAAAAAGGTACCTATGAGGGCATCAACCAACCCTTCCAAAGCTATGCAGGACATTCTTCACCCGACTTTTCGAGGGAACAAAGCAACCGAGCATGGCCGCCGCAGCGAACCCAAAGCTAGGAGCAAGTTCATGCACAGATACAACTGTGCTGTTCGACAAGTAGGACTGGTGGTCTGTCCTGAGCTGCCATGGCTTGCAGCCAGCCCTGATGGAATCATCGATGAACTTGATGCTCTTCTGGAGATAAAGTGTCCTAATGTACCAAACTGCTCAGCGTTACTAGAATCTGGAACCTATGATGTCCGCAAGAATGGCATGGGGGTATTCGTGCTGGACCCCAAAGGAAAAAATAAGTACTACCACCATGTTCAGTTTGCGATGCACTGCACTGGCAAGCTCGTCTGTCACTTCTATGTGTGGTCCGAGGGTCACGACGAGGTTGCAGTTGTGCAATACAGCAAGGACTTTATGAACTGCCACCTGCCAAGGGTCAGAAACTTCTACTTTAAGAGCCTTTTGCCGGCATTTGTTGATGACACCAACTCTGGAAAGATTTCACTCTCAAATGTGTACAACCAGCTTGCACAGATGTGATTGGGCAGGTCAGTGTACTGTGTCGTTTTGTGCAATACAATGTGTGCGATGCTTCGCTTATCCATGGTTTTCAGTGGTATTGATTGAGTAGTTTGTTATTTCTCCATGGCTTATTACTTCAAAATCTGTAGTTTGTTATTTCAACATGGCTTATTACTTCAAAATCTATTATTTAACACAAGTCAAGCCACTGTTTGTTAGCCACGACTGGCTGAACTAATCTGGGCCATGCTTGTACAACAGTTTTCAGGTAAGAGGGGAAACAAGAAATTAAAAAAAACAGTTTCAAGCACAATGCTGTGACTATGACAGGCCCTCTAGCTCTATCCACACAACACCTTCACAAAAGATAATGAAAAATATGTAATCTTGGCAGATGTCTAATCGTTAATACACAACAGAAATACACAGTTGACTCTTGGACCTGCGTAAGGTAGCGGTAGGAACATGCCCGAAAAAATAGTAACACATTACTAAAAAGAGAACAGACAAGATTGCGGAACTGAACTTGGGTTATCTGACAAAATATTGCTAGCCACTTTTACTAGAAGGGGTATGCGCATAGCATTTGGAGTCTATGCAGGGCGTGTTTGTAGCTTGGGTTTGAAGGCCATTGTGTTATGCGAGAGCATGTAGTGTTAAAGTATGTTTCAAATGTATGAATACTGAATAAAAAACACTCACATAGTGCAGATAAATGTAATCTAAAGGAACTCTGGGGCGAAAAAAGCAATGCAAGAAGTGGCAATTGCAAAAGAAAAGTTCCATGCATACAGTTTTGTAGAAGTTTCAATTGCTTCTAGGATAGAGAAGTGATAACTCGGAACTGGTATGCCATGCAGACCTCACTGCTCCAGAATTCTCAAGAAAAAAGCTCACTTCTTGATCAAAGGTCCCTTTAGGTTGCACAGCCCTGCACATACATAGACTATCTCATTTGCAACCTTTCGATGCTGGATGGGCAGTGCCTGTTTCAGAATCCTGTAGGATTTGATCCTATTTATTGCCCGTTCTACATGATTGCGAACAGACACAATCCTTCCGGTCTCTGTGACTTCTCGTTCTGACAGCTGAAGCTTCCCTCGAGTAAAGGCTGGCACATTGAGTACTACACCCTTTGCTTCCATCTCGGGATCGAGGGAAAAGCCCCTGTCGGCCATCACCTGATCACCGTGTTAAAAGTAGGAAATAATTCCCGAGTCTCTCACAATATGCTTGTCAGACGCTCGTCCACCGTACACCTTGGACACAAACATCACTGATCCGTGAGGTGCAATAGCCAGCAAAAACTTCACAGTGTTGTGGCCTTTGTATGAGCTGTAGGTCTGTGCTCGAGCGAGCAATTTTTTGGGTCGCTGCAAGAACACCTCAGTGCAATCCAAAATGCAAGTAGTGCCTGCAAAACCATTCTCCTCAAAGGACTGCGGAACATTCATGAAGATTGTCTCTCTCGAGAGCCACACAACAACATTCCTTAGGATCCGCCCAAGTGTGGCAAGCATGGCACGGAAAATGTTGCCTACGGTGGAAACTGAAACCCCAAACCTCCTAGACAAATCGCCATAGACAAGGCCCAGCCTCAACTTCATCAGAGTTAGTAAAACTTGCTGCTCTACTGACATCATGAAGTTTGTGGTCGCAAACTCTGGTACAACTTTCACCAGCTCCATAAAGACATCTGCATGCAGACTGGTATAAAAGAAAATGTTTCGCGCCTCAATGCTACGACCACCATGAGGACCAAACGTCGCAGTTGGTGCAGTGGGCCTCGAGTAGGCATGGTCGCAAAGACACGGGTCTTCCCACCGGATCCCCTGGTGGCACACATCCGGGCGAACTTGGCCGTGATCAGTTGTCTGTGAACAAAATCAGAGTTTATCAATTTAAAAAGTAGGCTGCTTCTGTTGGAGAGCAACTGAACAATATTCAGTACAAAGAGAAATAGCAACTATCGAAGTGGTGCAAAAATGAAAAAGCCTGTGCTTAAATTGTCTCGAATCATGTTTAATAGTCATAGAAGTAAAGTAACTAGTTTAAAGGGGCCATACAACAGATGGATAACAAAAGATTCTTTGTTTCTGTGTGTTTGTTTTTATTATTTAAAAATAAAACATATTCATGTGTGTTGCACCCCTCAACTTTAACGCTCTCTTCCAAGTCACGGGTGTGGTGACGTAACCAAGGAGGACAAAGAGGGGAGCACTGTACTGAGAGTAGACCCTTTCCGAAATTGCTCTTCGCAACCATTAGACGCTGCCCTGACGATGTTGAAAGATGTTGGAAAATGCGGCCGGCAACAATGGTCAGGCAACGGGCAGCCATAAGCAACGTTACTGGAGCAAGCTCGGTTTTACAGCTCCCCATTCTCGCCTGCGGAGGCGAGTGGCACGGGCGGCGGTCACGAGAACTAACGGTGCTGCAGTCGGATCTTGCTGCTCGCGTCGTCTGCTACAGCGTTCTCTGCTACCGCCGCGTTGAGAGTTAAGCTAGAGGTTTGGCGTGCCCCGCAGGAATATGGTTTTAGCTCTGCTATTCCGCCCTATGCAAGGGATGAAACCCTGATCATTTATTCATGCTCTTGGCTTCGACTGTGCCATGAATAATCTTATTTCCTTTCTTATTTTCTCGATCACCCCGTCCCCTGTTTCTTTAAAGTGACAACCTCCTCAATTTATGCTACTCCTCATTTCACTATAAATCAAAGCTCAATCGGAGTGTTTGGGCGTCTATGGCAGCCAGTGTACCACCAAAGAAAGATTGTTTAAACAAGCTTTAGCATTGCTGAGGCTCATTGAACTGCTAAGGCTGCAAGACTACAAGGAGCCACTTTCCGAGGTTGCTTGTACAGAGCTCCCCAGCAGTGCCGGCGTCTCCATTGAAAGCTATAAAAGCAGTTACTGGCAACGTTCGGTAGGTAGTCATTTTGCTGGAAGTACTTGGGCTGTAGCTTTACATATTTTGGTATATGAAAATGTTCCCCTTACCACAAAAAAAATGCAAATTGGACGTTTGGGGGTTTAGACAGCGCGAGGTCGGTCTGCCGGGTATGGCAACCTGATCCAAGCCGTCGCTGATCAATTTAGTCACTGCAGTACAACTGACAGCCTGAGACTACTATCGTGCATCACACAGTAGTGATGCGCATGCGATCATGTTTGTTGCATTCAGCAGATCATGCTGCTGCTCACATCAACTCTAGCTTAACTTGAACCTACCGTGTGCTCAGCAGCAGTTGGTTGTGACGTCGAGACCGAGACGTTGACCTGCTCGGCGGCTTGCGTACAGTCGGTGACCTGAAAGGAACGCATCAGCTTTGCATGCTAAGTGCGATAGATTACCACCCAAGATATGTTTATCGCATTCAGCAGATCATGCTGCTGCTCACATCTACTCTAGTTTAATTTGAACCTACTGTGTGCTCAGCAGCAGTTGGTTGTGACGTCGAGGCCGAGACGTTGACCTGAAAGGAATGAATCAGCTTTGCATGCTCAGTGCGATAGATTACCACCCAAGATATGTTTATCGCAGTTAGCAGATCATGCTGCTGCTCACGTCAACTCTAGCTTAACTTGAACCTACCGTGTGCTCAGCAGCCGTTGGTTGTGACGTCGAGGCCGAGACGTTGACCTGCTCGGTGGCTTGCGTACAGTCGATGACCTGAAAGGAACGCATCAGCTTTGCATGCTCAGTGCAATAGATTACCACCCAAGATATGTTTATCGCATTCAGCAGATCATGCTGCTGCTCACATCAACTCTAGCTTAACTTGAACCTACCGTGTGCTCAGCAGCAGTTGGTTGTGACGTCGAGGCCGAGACGTTGACCTGCTCGGCGGGTTGCGTACAGTCGGTGACCTGAAAGGAATGCAGCAACTTTTTATAGTCATTGCAATAGAATAGTGCTAGACACCACATCCTATGCATGCGAAGTTCAAGCTCTGAAGCTAATATGACTTCGCGTCAGGCACAACCCCTGTGGCAGCGCGGGCGATAACAAATATATTGCACTGGGTCAACTTACAGCTCCAGAGCTAGCTTGTGAGGAGAGTCTTTGCTTCTGCAACGGAAATCACATTCGTTGAGGTCACAGACTAAAAGCGAGAATCTACATTCAGCCACGCAGACGTTTACCTTAGTGATCAGCGGTTTCTCACTTGCGTCACGCACCAAACGGCGTCTCCCAACGACAACCTGTCAGTGCACAAGCGTTTAGGGCACACTGCGTTAGAGCCCTGCACGGTCCGGATTTTCTAGGCCCGGCTCGACCCGGCCCGGCAGAGGCACGGCCCGGGCCCGGCCCGAGCCCGGCAGAATATTTAATTTCTAGGCCCGGCCCTACCCGGCCCGGAAGAGACATAGCCCGGGCCCGGCCGGGGCCCGGCAGAATTTTTAGACAGAAGTTCAAGCCCGGCCCGAGCCCGACAAAAATGTTTTAAATATAAGCCTGAGTCCGGCCCGAGCCCGACAGTTCATATTCATGAGCCCAAAAAAGTTTGCAGGCTTCAACCTAAAGACTGTCTAAGCATAAAGCGAGCATATTTGATTTACATTTCTTTTGGACTTGGATCGAGATTTTTTGACAAAATAAATATCCCGACTTGGTGTATTTTCGAGAATATTGGCGAAATATGCATTGTTTAAGTGATTTAACGAAAAAAAGTGCCGCATTCTTTATTTATGCATTTCTTGAAGAGATATCGGGCTTTTCGTTGTCCGATTCGTGTCAGAGAACTTTCCTCTCTACATTTTTTTGTGAAGAAATAATCAGAATCACGCTAGTGCATATTCAAAAAGCTGTATAAGAATAAAAATATCTAGTTAGCTTATCTTTGGCGGCATAGTAAGGCTCCTTGCACAAAAGCAAATTCAAGCTCACGTTGTTTTTCTTGTGTTCAGTTTGAAACGCAGAGGAAAAATACACTCATGTTGTACCCTGCGACTGGAGTGCCCTCGGTTTCTTCACCGTACTTTCCCACTATGGTGGAGGAATCCACACGTTTCCTTTCATCCACGTGAAAGCTTTCCAAGTGCAAGACGTCTTTTTTTTTTTTTTTAACAGCAGTTTAGTAATTTTGCATTTCGCTTGTTTGTTTTCATTGAACCGAGAAGATCAATGGGCACCTTTTTCGTTATCAACAATTTAAAATTTGTGGCACACGACTGCTCAGCCACGCCCCGGGCCGGCCCGGGCCGAGATGGCCCGGATAATATTTTGTTCAAGCCCGAGCCCGGCCCGGGCCCGAGAAAATGCGTGCTACCCGGCCCGAGCCCGGCCCGCGGGCCGGGGCGGGCTCGGGTTTTCGGGCTGGCCCGGGTCCGTGCAGTGCTCTGCACTGCGTGTATCAGAAATGGGACTCTATTGCGATTAGTGGCATATTTACCTTCCGCGCATACCCGAGGTTAAGCTGCGGCACGATATCCTCGCCCGTCTTTTTCCCAGTCACGAAATGCGCCGAGCACACCTGGAATCAGGCACGAGCGTTACGCAGAAGATCACGACAGTGATAAAGATATGTCGAACTCACTCGGGTGTGTTCCGTAGGCTTGAAGTCCTTGCGGTTCAGCGCGGAGGGCCACTTTCTTTTCAGTTCGGGATCCTTGGGGACACGGTGGAACTTAACTATCCCACACTCGCAGGGCGTTTGCAAGTGAGCAGCGCACAATTGCTGTCTCTGATTGTTCCTCTTGCGATGGTTGTTCGAACAACCGAAAACAGAGCAGTGCACTCCTGACGACCTCGTAGGATTATTCATAGTGCACTATGGACGAAGTGACGGAAAAGAAGGCGCACCGACGAAGAAACTTTCGAAAAGGCGCAGACCCCACGCCAAGCAACGAGCGTCAAGTCAACAAACCGGCACAATGTTCCCGGGAAGTGAAAACGCGGAGAGACGTCCCCGCTAGCTGCGCCGACGGGGGAGAGAACGCCCTGTTGGAGAGTGCGCGTCGTTTCGGCGCGCGGTTCAAGGCTAAGACGGAACGGCGCTTGCAAACGTCTATAGGGATGAAACAGCGCTATTCAATTTGAACCGAAAATTCGCACAGCATTATAAAAATGCTTGCGGGAAAAATGGAATGTGCGCGAAAGAAGACGTGTGAACGAAAAAGTGTACGAACATGACCTGTCGCTGCGATCTTCGCCAGGGAACATTTCCCCCTACATTGTGCTGTGTCTAAAAGGGTATTTACACAGAGGGAAAATCCCCCCCCCCCCCCCCTTTGCTCCCCGGGATGCACATCACTTGGTAACTACGCGCAGAGCCGCGCTGATGTAGACATCCCATGGGGAGATGGGGGAGCTTTTGCTCGGGCTGCACAAACATTTCCTCTCCCTTGGCTGGCGATCTCTTCGCCACTGGCGGTATTTTGTACGCGTGTCTGACGACTTTAAAGGTTTTTGCCCCGCGCGATACCGGTATTGCCATCGGGATTGCCTTTTATGTTGCGGCTTGCGCTGTTGCGGATGTTGTCCGTTGCTCCCGAACCAGTCTTTCGCGTTCATCAATGCCGTCTTCGAGACGCTCCTCGTACAACTGGTGTTGAACTCCACGTGCTTTGTGTTGCTTCCACGCATTCATGGGGAATCAGGAAGCCGTTCGTCGTCTTCCGCACCAAACAGGGCTGCTGCCATAATCAAGTATCGCCGTTTCACGTACGCTTTTTCTTTCTTGTTCCTACTCTCGTCAGCGCGCACCAAGTCCTGTTGTTGAGAGTGCGAACGCTAGCAACGTGCGATATGCTGGCCTCCCTCTCGGCTCACCGCCGTTCGTGGTGTGGATGCTGGAGTCGGGGAGCAAGTCCCGCTGGTTCCCCCGATCACTGACGTCACACGCACATCCTTTCCCGAAAGGCTACTCCGTGGGAATACCCCTTATGTGTCAGCACGTCTTCGCGAAGTTCACCCAGATGAAATAACTAATTGTTTGAAGCATTCGCTTTTCATAAAAGACGGTGGCAGAAAAGAAACGTCAGTCAGGATCTGTACATCTAGTTGATAAATCGATGTATATGGTAAAGCGTTGATTACGTTCAGGTGTGGTTGTGATTTTGTTTGTGCTTTTTTGTAGGTGTTAGTTGCAATTAAATGCAATGCACTACAATGCAAGAAAATGAGTAGGGGTCCGCGTTTTCGGGGTTTATTTTCCGTCAAGTTTCGGGGGGGGGGGGGGGGGGTTGCAGATTTTGTTTTTGGATTGAAGTTTTGGCGTCGCCCAAAATTGTGGGGGTTGCCAGGGACTTATGAAGGTCGAAATAAATGAGACGCGGTCGTCGAATTCCCAAAAAAACTCCCGGGAATGTGCCCATACTCGATTACTTTGAAAATGTTCCGCTACCGATAAAAGGAGGGAGCGGGACATTTAGGGAGTTTTAGTAGATCGTTCCGATAACACCGATAGCAATACCCGATACTTCCGCCGACGCCTTTGCGCATGCATAATATCGTTATCGGGTATGGTTATCGCAGGTATCGGAACGATCTTCTAAACCTCTATAATAGTTGTGATTCATAAAAGAAAAAAACAGTCGCGGACAGTTCAGCGGATTGTGTTTCGGGTCAACGCAAAAGAAAGCGAAGATAAAGTGTGCGTGCGTGTGCGTGTGCGTGTGCATGCGTGCGTGTGTGCGTGCGTGCGTGCGTACGTGCGTGCGTGTGCGTGTGTGTGTGTGTGTGTGTTTTTCCGTGAGGTTAGTTACTTTTTATTCAACGCAAGCTCTAATTCAGTGTTTTGGTTATCCCAAATTTTTATAAAACCGGATGGGAGTTCATTTTCGGGGTTCATCGGTACTTACAGAAAACACGAAACCCAACTCATAACTCTGTTGCGGGGTACGAAAAGCACGAGAAGCTCCTCACGCAAAGACGCTTACTCTTCCCGCTTTAGTAAAGTGAACGTTGAAAAGGAGGGGCAGCGTTCGGTTTTTTTAAAAGTGGAAACAGTAGTCGGCTTGGCGGTAGGAGCTTGTTGTGCTTTTCTTGCCCTGCGACAGAGTATAGTTAGAAGTATGCCATAGACCAAGGCTGGGCAGTATATTACAGAACAGATGTACCTCGATGGTATTTTAGAAATACTTTAGAGTATATGTAGCCAGTTTCAGTCGACCACTTTCGTGCGCCCGCTCTGCTGTCGTAGAACACAATTGTCACTGCGCACGCGCGGCCATTCTGAGTTCAGCGGAAAGTGAAAACGACCTACTAAAATTACCTAGTATCGTGGCCAGTGGCCGTTTTAAAGGGATACTACAACGAAATTTCGGCACTCATTTTTTGGTCTTTATGTGTGCAAAGGAGCAGCATCACATCGAACATACCAATATCTTGTTAAAAAAGTCACGAAAAGGAATTTTAAAAGGAATTAAGCAAAGAGAACCTGGTGGATGTCGCTAACGTCTCGCTTGTAATTCCCGTCTAGGAACCTTGACAGCTAGTGACGGAGGTTGTCTCGCCTCCGGCCACGACGAGAGAAGAGGGGCAGGAGGAACTCCTTTCTTCCCGAGAATGCCTTTTGTGTGTCGCAGAAGTCGCTTTTGTCCCCCTACAAGATTACAGAAGATTAACCCGTCACTTGAAATTCGTACAAAAGCAGCCGCTTCGGTGGCTGGAACGACAGGCCACCCTCTCGACATCAGCCTCGCCGTAGCTTTGCTCATCCTGAGACGACCTACGTCACGATTGCGTTGAATGTCACGTGGTCTCCGCTGGGCCTTCTCCGAGCGCTTGCCAGAGTGGGCCGTTTACAACGAAAAATACAGCCACCAGGCTCAAAATACAAACGTGCGATTGTCATTTACGGACATTGTGGATCATATTCAACCTATTTTTGAACACGACGGGAATATTTCAAATTTTGTTGAAGTATTTCATTAAAGGAGGGGGGGGGGGAGAGAGAGAAAGAAGAAAGGGGTCGTTCCCCAACCCCACCTTCCATAACCTCTTCGCTTGTTTATTTTATAGGTTCGCTCCAAGAATGAGGAAGCCAAGGAGGAAGTACTCTTGTTAACTGAAAGTGACCAGTTGACTTCGACGATGAACACCAGAAATTCACTGCGGTTATTTACAATGCTCTTGCTTTGTTAAACAATGTAACTAATTAAAACTCAGAGCATAAATAAAAAACAATGATTTAATAAATTGTATTATTTTTTTTAATATCCCCCCCCCCAGAAAAAAAAATACAAGTAAAAAAAACAAACGTTTAGGACCGCCATTGATCTCTGTATCGAGTACTTTTGAAAACTGTATTTGTATGTTTTAGATATATCACTTGTATCGTGGCTTGTATCGTGACTCGTTACATTTCTTGTAGAATATTAACTGTCGTTTATTTTCTTGTTGCGATAAACTGGAGACGACGATACTAATTAATCTCTGGAAATGGGACACAAGGGAGATAAAGAAAAAGCGAAAATCTCCAAACACAGCTAGTTGACTTGTGCGCGACCGAGCTGTGTTTGGAGACTTGTGTTTGTCCTTTGTTCCCCTTGTTCCCCTTCTCCAGGAATTAATATTGTCATTCTTGTCCAGCTCGCTTCTACCTTTGCACTAATTGCATTATCATCAAATTGAAAACCATTTTTTTCTTGTGCAAGGGGTCCGAGAACCCGAACTATGAATCCGGCGCGTAATCCCCTTAAAGGGTGACCCCGGTCAAAAGTCGAACCAAAATAAATGACTGATATCGATTTACGGAGACTAAATATGGCGTGCATATGTAAATAATAGGGTCGCGACTGGACTTCAGGGGGGGGAGGGGGGGGGGAGGGCTAATGTTTTGTAAGCTTTTCCCCTGGCAACGCCACTCCTCCCAAAATCATCGACGAAACCTTTCCGGACGCCGCATTTTTCGGATTTTTCAAGCACGAACGAACACTACTTGTGCTAACAGAAGCGCGAGGGTGCTACCGGTGGGGACTCCACAGATGGGCTTCCCGTTGGCGTGAGTGTAGGATGATTCATTCTAGACGCATCCACGCTAGAAACTTCGAACGCTGTTAGTAGGCGTGTGGGTTTCTCCTGCACCAACCCTGCAATCTATCAGAAGCTGTATTTCTTACATTCTTAATGCAGGAACGAACACTGAGTGTGTTAACGTGAGCAGTGAGAAGCTAGTCGTGGGAACACTTCAAAAATTGCTCCCCTGGGAGTAAGTGGAGGGTGTTTCAACCCAGACGCATCCACGTTAAAAATGTCAAACACTGCTATAGGGGTTTGCTCCTACAACAACTCTAAAACCTATCGGAACTTTTTTTTTGTTTTGTTTTAGATTCTCCATATAGGAACGAACACAGCATGTGTTAACGAGAGCAGAGAGGCGCTACTAGTGGAGACTCCTTAAAGAGAGCTTCCCGTGGGCGTTAGTGGATGATGTTTCAATCCACCCGCATTCAAGCTAGAAACTTCAAGAGCTGTTAGTATACACGTGGGTTTGCTCCTACAACAACGTTAAAATCTACCGAAAGCCGTTTTTGTTT